CTTGGTTTTTGTCCCCTTCTTCACTCTCTCCCACCACAAATAGCCAAATTTTCCTGTTCCTTCCTCCTTTCTTTCATTTTCTATCTTCTACTTCATTTTTATTCCCCTTCTTTACAGCCATCATCTGCTACCTATCTCCTGCCTCTCTTCTCTTCTCTTTTTTAAATATTTCAAAATTTTGTGCCTTCCTACCCCCATAGTTGAGAAATTGTAATCCCAATATCTAATAGAAGTATGTAGTACATGTGATACCTATGTCATTCATATTGTGATGATTAACACGGTGGATGATGTAGTAGACACCTGCTGTTCAATGCCTACTCTAGTAACAGTTTTTGATTGTTGATGCTGATGTTAACTGTTATTCCAGTTAACACTATAACAATTAGTGTTACAGATTTCAAAGCAGACACTAGACATTTATCTTAAGGCTGTGCGCTAGTGCTATTCCTGGCTCCCTGCATTCTCTAAGAAGTTATGGAAACTGATTGGGACATTTCAGATATTTACAATCAAAGAGTAAAATTCCTGCTGCCAAGCAATACTCACAACTCAGTCAATAACAGCAGATCTTACCACACACACACTCTAGCCTTAACTAAGCCTCAACAAATACTAATATATTGAATTTAATGTTATGTTCAATGAACTAAAAGAAGATCTAAGGAATTAAGAGCAAATGCAGGAGATGAGAGTCCACTTCAATAAAGAAATAGAGATAATGAAAGGAAGCCAATCAGAACTCCTGGAAATTAAAGACATAATAAATCAAATTAAAAATTCACTTGAAAGCATCACCAAAAGATTACATTGCATAAAAAAAAATAGAAGTTCAGGACTTGAAGGCAGTGTATGTGAACCTGAATACTCAGTATGCAATAAAGAGGGGTGGGCTGGGTGGAAAGACCATGATCAGAATATACAAGAACTCTGGGACAGCAGCAAGAGAACAAACCTGAGAGTCACTGGGATAGAAAAGAACATGGAGATAAAGCGAATGGCATTAAGAATATCTTCCGTCTGATAGTAACAGATAATTTTCTGTATACTAAAAGTGAGATAGACATCCACATACAGGAGTCATACAGAACCTCAATCTAGACAAAGTAAGAATAGAATCTCTTCAAGACACATCACAATTAAAATGCCTAAGAGAAAAGATGGAAAGAATATTAAAAATTACGAGAGGGGCTGGAGCTGGGGCTCAGTGGTAGAGTGCTTGCCTTGCATGTGTGAAGCACTGGGTTCGATCCTCAGCACCACATAAAAATAAATAAATAAATAAATATGTCCATCTACAACTAAGAATATATTTTTTTAAAAAGTTGCAAAACAAAAAGTTGCAAGAGAGAAACATCAGCTCACATTTAGAGGCAAACAAATAAGTCTCACTT